CTGCATTCTTTTCTTTTTTTCTTTTGGGCCACACCCGGCAATGCTCAGGGCTGACTCCTGGCTCTGCACTCAGGGATCACTCCTGGCCGGGCTCAGGGAACCCTGTTGGGTGCCAGGAGTCAAATCAGGGTCACTTCAAGCAAGGCAAACGCCCTCCCTGTGGGGGCTGGAGCGATAGTACAGCGGGGAGGGTGTTTGCCTTGCACACGGCTGACCCGGGTTCAATTCCTAGCATCCCATAGGGTCCCCCGAGCACCGCCAGGAATGATTCCTGAGTGCAGAGCCAAGAGTAACCCCTGAGCATCGCTGGGTGTCCTATCTCTGCCTTCTGCTGTCTGTCTCTAGTCTGCCTAGAGGGGACAGAGAATGTGGTGATCCTGTCAGATGCCCCAGTTCCATCACACACACACACACACACACACACACACACACACCCCAAGTCTCAGAAATGGCCCGCTGTGATTTTCTCGCCTCCTCTGAATGATTTCTGCGCCCCACAGCCCGCACCCCTCCTGCTCTGTTTTTGCCTGTTGTTTACTGAGGTTTCCCTTGTGGTTTCTTATTTGGGGAGTGTACACCCCTGGCGGTGCTCGGGGCCACTATGCAGGCCAGGGACCAGTCATCTATTCTGGGGCACTCGAGTTGTTTCAAATTGTGGCTATGGTGAATGGTGCTGCAGTGACCACAGGGGTGCGGATGGTGTCTCTGCTGTGTGTTTTGGGACCCCCGGGGTATATTCCCAGGAGTGGAATTGTTGGGTCATAGAAAGCTCAATTTCTACTTTATTTTTTGAGGAATATCCATATTGTTTTCCAAAAAGTCTGGACCCGTGGGCATTCCTACCCACAATGAATGAGAGACCCTTTCTCCCTGCATCCACGCCAGCACTGATTGTTCTTATTCTTTTTTTTTTTCCTTTTTGGGTTACACCCAGCGATGCTCAGGGGTTACTCCTAGTTCTGCACTCAGGAATTACTCCTGGCAGTGTTTGGGGGACCCTATGGAATGCTGGAGATCGAACCTAGGTCAGTCGTGTGCAAGGTAAACTCCCGACCTACTGGACTATCGTTCTGGCCCCTCTTGTTCTTTTTGATGTGTGCCAGTCTCTGTGGTGTGAGATATCTCATTTTGATTCCCAACCCTCTGATGGTTAGAGGTGAAGAGCGTTTTTTTCATATACCTTTTGGCCTGGGCTGGAGCTATAGCACAGCGGTAGGGCGTTTGCCTTGCACGCGGCCAACCCGGGCTTGATTCCTCCACCCCTCTCGGAGAGCCTGGCAAGCTACTGAGAATATCTCGCCCGCATAGCAAAGCCTGGCAAGCTCCCCGTGACGTATTCGATATGCCAAACACAGTAACAAGTCTCGCAATGGAGATGTTACCGGGACCACTTGAGCAAATTGATGAATAACGGGAGGACGGTGCTACAGTGCTACCTTTTGGCCATTTGTATTTCTGCTTTCAGGAAGCTCCTATTCATCTCTTCCTGTTTTTTGGATGGGATTGGATTTTGTTTTTCTTGTAAAGTGTGCTGCCTTATATATCTTGTTACTGTTACTGTGTCTGGCATATCCAATACTCTCGGTAGCTTGCCGGGCTCTCCGAGAGGGGCGGAGGAATCGAACTCGGGTCGGCCATGTTGGCTGCGTGCAAGGCGAACGCCCTACCGCTGTGCTATCGCTCTAGCCCAGGCCAATCTTGTCAAGGTGGAGTGTTGAGTAAATGACATCTCCCATTCCGTGGCCTAGCTCTGTATCCTGGTCATCATTTCCTTTGAGGAGCAGAAGCTTCTTAGTTTATTGCAGTTCCATTTGTTTAACTTTGCTTCCTTCCACTTGCTTGGGCAGTGGCGTTTCAGCCTTGCAGATGCCTCAGGCATCAATGTCCTGGAGAGTTCTGCCTACCCTTTCCTCTATGAAGCTTATGCATTAGGGGCTGATATCAAGGTCTTTAATCCATTTTTATTGGACTTTTGTGCAGGACATTAGAAAGAAATCTGAGTTTGTTTTTCTGCAGGTAACTGACCAATTCTCCTAATACCTCTCATTTATGTTTTTTCTTTTGTTTGTTTTTTTTTTCTTTTTGGGTCACACCCAGTGATGCACAGGGGTTCCTCCTAGCTCTGCACTCAGGAATCACTCCTGGTGGTGCTCAGGGGACCATATGGGATGCTGGGGATCGAACTCTGGCCGGCTGCATGCAAGGCAAATGCCCTACCCGCTGTGCTATCATCCAGCCCCTCATTAATGTTTATTGCATTTTTAATACTACTTTAGAAACAAACCTTAGGGGCTGGAGTGATAGCACAGCGGGCAGGGTGTTTGCTTTCCACGCACCTGACCTGGGTTCGATTCCCAGCATCCCATATGGTCCCTCGAGCACCACCAGGAGTAATTCCTGAGTGCACAGCCAGGAATAACTTCTGTGCATCCCCAGGTGTGACCCAAAAAGAAAAAAAAAAACCTTAGTTATATGTTTCTAGCTTTTGTTTGATATATATATGTATATATATATATATATATATTTTTTTTTTTTGGTCTGGGGGACATACCTGGCAGTACTCAGAGGTTTCTGTCCTTGTTTTTTTTTGGGGGGGGGAGGGGTTTGAAGTTCTGGGGATTGAACCCAGAACGGCTGCATGCAAGACATACACTGAGTCCATTGACCTATCACTGGCCCCATGTCGTCATACTTTCAGAACTTTCCAGAGCTGCTCTTTACAAAGGGTTCGGACAGCCAACACTTTAGAGATCCGACAGTTTAAAGTTTGCTGCACCGACTGCTTTTCTGATTAAAGAAAATCTTAGGTCTAAGATTTCCCTTCTTCCTTTCTACTCATTCTTGCCCTCTCTGTTCCCCGACACAGATCCAATCTGAGGTTAAAATCACCAGTTCAGGTGCTGGAATGATAGCACAGCGGGTAGGGCGTTTGCATTGTGCACAACCGACCCGAGTTCGATTCCTAGCATCCCATAAGGTCCCCCGAGCACCACCAGGAGTAATTCCTGAGTGCATGAGCCAGGAGTAGCCCCTGTGCATCGCTGCACGGCAAAGCTGGCAAGCTACCAGCTCTCCGAGAGGGGCGGAGGAATCGAACCCAGCTCGGGTGGGCCAGCTGCGCGTGACCCAAAAAGCAAAAAAAAAAAAAAAAATCCCAGTTCACCAGGACATCCTCTGCCCTTTCAAATGCTCTTATTTTCTGCTTCATATCTGGCCGGAACTGGGATTGCCCAGGAAAAGGTGGGGCATCTCTCCTGGTTCGGGTGCTGAAAATGGCTGGCGCCAGCATTGAACCAGCCCCAGCAACTCAAACAAGACCTTTGGCAACTGTTGTTTGCTCAGTGGGAAATGTCAGCATCCCTGCTGTTCACAGTTCCAAGCTTCACACACAAACACACATACACACACGCACATGCACACACAGTCTTTTGAAATCTTTCCTATGATCAAACCTTAAACCTACTTTTGCTCCTTGCCTTTGCATATACACAAACATATATATATATATATATATATATATATATATATATATATATTTGCTCGAGCGGGCCCAGTAACGTTTGAGACTTGTTGTTACTGTGTTTGGCATATCGAATACGTCACGGGTAGCTTGCCAGCTTTGCCGTGCGGGCGAGGTACTCTCGGTAGCTTGCCGGGCTCTCTGAGAGGGGCGGAGGAATCGAACCCGGCTCGGGTGGACCAGCTGCACGCAAGGCAAACACCCTACCACTGTGCTATCGCTATATACACACACGTACAAACTCAGTACAAACTCACAACTCCAGTAATTATTTTTGTTTTTTTGTTTGTTTGTTTCCCCGGCAAGCTACCGAGTATCTCGCCCGCATGGCAAAGCCTGGCAAGCTCCCTGTGACATGTTCAATATGCCAAACACAGTCACGACAAGTCTCAAAATGGAGACGTTACTGGACCCGCTCAGGCAAATTGATGAACAACGGGAGGACAGTGACAGTGACAGTTTGTTTTTTGGGTTGGTTGGTTTTGGACGGGGCATTTGGGCCACAGTCGACAATACTCAGGAGTTACTCCTGGCTCTGTGCTCAGGGATCACTCCTGGTGGGGCTCGGGGAACCCTATGGGGTGTCAGGGATCGAACCCTGGTCAGCTGTGTGCAAGGCAAGCACCCTTCCTGCTGTCCTCTCTTTCTGGCCCCTGATGTTTTAAACTATTATGTCCCTGAACCTTTGCAGTAGTTGTCTGGGGCAAAGGGGACCGTGGGGGCTGGCCTGGGCACACACTTTAGTGGGGTGCCGGTGACCTCAAAGAGCAGAGCCACCAGCATTGCACACGATACAGCAGGGTGGTGGCAGGGGTCAAACCTGGCACCTCACGGGTGTCAGGCAGGTACTTTACCACTGAAATCTCCTGGGACCCTGGTGTGTGTGTGTGTGTGTGTGTGTGTGTGTGTGTGTGTCTTCTTTAACTGTCAAGAAGGAAAGAGCAGGGGGCAGGAGCGATAGCACAGCGGGCAAGGCGTTGGCCTTGCATGTAGCTGTCCCAGGTTCAATCCCCGGCATCCCATAGGGTCTCCCGAGCACCACCAGGAGTGATTCCTGAGTGCAGAGCCAGGAGGAACCCCTGTGCATTCCCGGGTGTCACACACACACACACACAAAGAAGGAAAGAGCAAAGATGAGAGACCAATGCGGGGGAGGGTTACCGTGTGGGGCTGAACAGGATGGTGGGAGTCGCAGAATCCGATATGAGGGTGTCACTGCCCCCCTCCCTCCACACCCCAGGACTTGCGTCTGGGGGGTCCCCCCTTATGAACGCAATATTCACAGGTCTCTTGTTCCAGTCTCTTTCCAACCATGCTCCTTCCTGGAGGAACTGCTAGAATTAGGGATGGTGGCCGTGAAGTTGGCGGGGGGTCGTCCCCTGAAGAGACACTGGCCTTTGGGGCGGAGCTGATGTCAAACCCGCTCTCCTGTCCCCCGCTCGGCCTCCAGGGGGGTCTCTGTGGGGCGAGGCCCCCCGCCATGAACCTCCGGAGCGAAGACCAGGAGGAGCGCGCCATCGTCCGCATTGCAGCCCACCTGCCCGACCTCATCGTCTACGGCGCCTTCTCGTCCGAGAAGCCCTCGGTGGACTACTTCGACGGCGTCCTGATGTTCGTGGACATCTCCGGCAAGTGTGGGGGGCGGCGGGCGGCCGCGGGAACAGGGGTCAGCGGGCACACACACATGCCAGGGACAGGGCGGGCGGGTCCGAGACGCCCAGGCCGTGGTCCAGCCAGCCCGCGCCGTCCTTGCAGGCTTCACGGCCATGACCGAGAGGTTCAGCACGGCCATGTACATGGACCGCGGCGCGGAGCAGCTGGTGGAGATCCTGAACCACTACATCAGCGCCATGGTGGAGAGTGAGTGGCCCCCGTGTCCCCCCCGGCCCCCCACTGCCGGCTCAGGCTCAGTCACGTTTCCTTCGTGTCCCCTCTGCGGGACATTCCCAGGGGCCCTGGGGTACGGGGTGGGGGGGAGGGGGTGCAACTCTGCCTGTTTTTTGGGGAGGTGGAGGGAAAACCCAGTGCAGGGGACCAAGCACGCAGACCCGAGCACTGTTTTGGGAGGGGATTAAACCAGGTTCGAGCCCGAGCACCTTGGAGCTCCGTGGGCGTCCGTGGGCTGAGGGAGGGGAAGCCTTGCACAGGTGAAAATATTAAGGGGCCAGGAGGCTGGAGCGATAGCACAGCGGGGGAGGGCATTTGCCTTGCACGCAGACGACCGGGTTCAATTCCCAGCATCTCATAGGGTCCCCCAAGCACCGCCAGGGGTAATTACTGAGTTCAGAGTAACCCCTGAGCATCGCCGGGTGTGACCCCAGAAACCAAAAAGAAAAAACCCGAAAATATTAGGGGCCAGAAAGATAGTGCAATGGGTAGTGCACTTGCCTTGCTCACCTGGGTTTGCATCACATAAGGTCTCCCGAGCCCTGCCAGAAGTGATCTTAGAGCAGTAAGCACTGCTGGGTGTTCACCCCCCCCAAAAAAAAAAACAAATAAAAGATTAGAGTGGGACTGGAAGAGGGCTGAAGGGCTGAGCTCATGCCTTGCAGGTGTGAGGTCCTGGGTTTGATCCCCGGCATTCCATGGGGTTCCCCGAGCACCGCCAGGTGTGATTCCTGTGTGCAGAGCCAGAAATAACTCCTGAGCATCGCTGGGTGTGACGCAAAAAAGAAAAAAAAAGAAAGAAATCCAAGTTGAATTGAACTGATCTTCCTTTTTGGGGGGTGGGCCTTACTCCTGGCTCTGTGCTCTGGAGTCACTCCTGGTAGTTCTCAGGGGACCCTATTCGATGCTGGGGGTGGTTGAGCCAGGCTTGGCCCCATGCAGGGTAAGAGTCTGATCCCTTGTGCTCTCTCGCCTGCTCCTGAACTGAACTTTAATTTTTTCTCCTCCCCCAGAAGTATTGCTTTTCGGAGGCGACATCTTAAAATTTGCAGGTAGGGGGCTGATTAAGGGGAGGGGGACCTCCAGGGGGACAGGGGCTGGGGAAGGTTGAGGAAGCTTCTACACAGCTTCCAGGAGATATCAACACCCAGGGCAGATGGGGGGTCCTCACGTGCCCCCTGCTCACCCCACACCGTGTGTGTGTGTGTGTGTGTGTGTGTGTGTGTGTGTGTGTGTTTGTGGCTGGCAGGGGACGCACTTCTCGCCCTGTGGAAGGTGGAGCGGAGGCAGCTGAAGAATATCATCACCATCGTGGTCAAGTGCAGCCTGGAAATCCACGGGCTGTTTGACGCCCAGGAGTGGGAAGAAGGTCTGGACATCCGGGTTAAGATCGGTGAGCACTTGGGGCCGAGCCATTTCCTAGTGGGGCGGGCGCCTGCCTTGCATGAACCCGTGTCGGCATCCATCCCCGGCATCCCATCCGTCCTCCTGAGCCCCACCAGTTGTGGCCCTGAAATAGAAATAAAAGGTGGGGGGTGGGGGGAGCAGATGGAGCAATAGCATAGTAGGTAGGGCGTTGGCCTGGCACGCGGCCGACCCGGGTTCGATCCCCGGCATCCCATAGGGTCCCCCGAGCACCGCCAGGAGTGGTTCCTGAGTGCAGAGCCAGGAGTCAGCCCTGTGCATTGCCGGGTGTGACCCATAAAAGCAAAAAAAAAAAAAAAGATGGGGGAACACAGGGCTGGGGGACCCCCGCGCCCATCCCCTCACCTCATCTCAAAGACGCTTCATCAGCACCCCCAAGGCCAGTGGTGGGGAATGTTGAGTCCCCAGTGTCCCCGCGCTGCAGGGCTGGCCGCAGGCCACATCACCCGGCTGGTGTTCGGCGACGAGACCCGCAGCTACTTCCTGGTAATCGGCCAGGCCGTGGACGACGTGCGCCTGGCCCAGAACATGGCCCAGATGAATGACGTCATCCTGTCCCCCAACTGCTGGCAGCTCTGTGACCGGAACATGATCGAGATCGAGCGAATCCCGGACCAGAGAGCCGTGAAGGTGAGCACGGCTCCAGGGCCATGGGCCCCACCCACTCCCAGCGAGAATGGGGCTCCGAGCTCCATCCCCTGCACCCCCTCTTTTTTCTCTTGGATTTTGGGCCACACCCGGCAGTGCTCAGGGCTTCCTCCAGGTTCTGCGCTCAGGGAGCACTCCTGGTGGGGCTCGGAGGACCCTATCAGGTGCCCTCACACCAGGCAAACACCCAACTTCTGTAAATCTTTTCTTTTTTTTTTTCTTTTTGGGTCCCACCCGGCGATGCTCAGGGCTGACTCCTGACTCTGCAGTCAGGAATCACTCCTGGTGGTGCTCAGGGGACCCTATGGGATGCTGGGAATCGAACCCCGGTTGGCCACTGTGCAAGGCAGACGCCCTCCCCGCTGTGCTATGGCTCCAGCCCCCCTTGCATTTTTGTTGGCCTTATTTATTGCTCCAGCCCCGTCAATTGTATTTTTGTAGTTTATGGAAAATGAGTGAAATAGAACAGACAGCTTTGGGAAACATTCCCAGTTCACCCATGGCCAGCAAGACAGCAAAATGACAAAGTTTGGCATTTTATGATATGTTTATTTCATAAAATCACGATCACGATCATCCTGTCAATTGTCTCGAGCAGGCACCCATAATGTCTCCTTCGCCCTAGCTCTGAGATTTTAAAAAGTGCCATATTCAAGGCTCTTTCAGGGTTACGAGAATGAGACCCATCATTGTTACTGGTATTTGGCATATTGAACACACTACCTCCACTACCCAGCCGCATGCCTCAGGCAACCACAAGCTAACGTCCAAGCTCGCAAAGCAGTGCAGAGATGCGATCAAGGAAGACCTCAAAGAGAGAAGAGCAGAAGTGCTGGTAGATGCGGCAGAAGCTGGGAAAAGCATTCGTTACGCCCGCCTGTCCTTTGCCAACCACAAGACCACGATGACTGCCCTCCGACGTCCTGATGGATCCATCACATCCTCCAGAACGGCAATGGAGAAGATTATCCACGACTTCTACTCAAATCTCTTCGATAGCCATGTCCACTTGCTGACATACCAAATTCCACAGGATGGATATGTCGTTCCCAACATTCTCCCTTCCGAAATCTGACACGCCATTTCGTCGGTAAAGAAACAAACAGCACCCGGCCCAGACAAGGTCAGACCTGAACACCTGAAGAACCTGCCGTCAGTACTCATCAATACACTGGCTCGGCTCTTCACTCGCTACCTGTCTGAATGCAAGGTTCCGTCCCAATGGAAAACCAGCAGGACCGTACTACTGTTCAAGAAGGGAGACATCCATGACATTGGCAACTATCGCCCGATCTGCCTATTGTCTGTCATCTACAAGTTGTTCACTTGAGTCATCCTAAATAGGATTGGCAGAAGACTAGATGAAGGACAACCATGCGAGCAAGCAGGGTTCCGCAAAGGATTCAGCACCATCGACCATATCCACACGATAACCAAGCTCATTGAGGTTTCTCGGGAGTTCAAGATGCCGCTCTGCTTAACGTTCATTGATTTAAAGAAGGCCTTTGATTCTGTTGAGACGGAAGCGGTCATTGAAGCCCTAGCCAATCAGGGCATTCAAGCCCAATACATCAGGATCCTCCGTGAGCTGTATTGCGGATTCACTACCAGGATCTCACCATTCTACAAAGAAGTGATCGTTGATGTCAAGAGAGGTGTTCGGCAGGGTGATACCATTTCACCGAAACCCTTCAGTGCCACCCTCGAGAACATCATGCGACAACTGGAATGGGAAGGAATGGGAGTGAAGATAGATGGTCGGCAACTACACCACCTCCGCTTTGCTGACGACATTGTTTTAATAACACCAAACATCAGCCAAGCGGCACAAACGCTGGCCGACTTTGACCGTGAGTGTGGAAAGGTAGGACTACAGCTGAATCTTACAAAGACAATGTTTATGAGAAACAGCCTCATTCCTGACGCCCCATTCGCTCTCAATGGAACGACCATCTCTGAATGCAACAGCTATGTGTACCTAGGTCGAGAAGTCAACATGACAAATGACCCGAGCTGCGCAGGAGGAAGAGAGCGGCTTTGGAACACCTTCAAGAACATGGAAGAAATAGCTAAGAGGACAAAGAACCTCTGGCTCCGGGCACATCTCTTTGATTCCACTGTTCTTCCTGCATTAACATATGCCTCAGAGACCTGAGCCCTACGCAAACAGGATGAGAACGCTATTCAGATCTCCCAAAGAAGAATAGAAAGAGCTATGCTAGGAATATCACGTTTCACTCAAATGAGAGAAAGAATCCGGACTTCCGACATCCGTTGACGATCAAGAATCAGGGACGCTGTCTCGTTTGCCAAGGTGTCAAAAATCAGATGGGCTGGTCACGAAATCAGATTTAAAGACGACCGCAGGACTAGAGCTGTTACCGACTGGATCCCATGGGATGTCAAAAGACCGCGTGGCCGCCCACCTACCAGATGGTCAGACTTCTTCATCAAGATCATGAACGATCGGTTTGAGGCTCTTCATGTTCCCAGAGCAAACAGATGCCATTGGGCTACACTGGCACGTGACAGGGACGAATGGAGACGTTACTGGCGCCCGCTCGAGCAAATCGACGACTAACGGGAAGTTAAGTGATTAAGTGATTAAGTGATTTGGCATATTGGGTTTGCCAGGGAGTTTGCCAGACTCTGCCGTGTGGGCAGGTAACATAGGGTAGCCTGCCAGGTTGTCCAAAGTAAGAATGAGATAAAAAGATGTCCACACGCATGAAGGTAGCTTCCGGGAGCTGGGTTTTATAGTCTCTGGGTCTTGGCTGTTGATGGGATTACACGGCGCTGGGGGGCAGTTGGTGGGTGTGACCCTTGCCTACTGGAAGATGGAGGATATGGGTGGAGGATGCTCAGCCCCGTTCCGAGCAGGCTTGGTTTTATTTCATAAAATAAATATATTCTATTGGGATTTGATACTATAGAGGCTATTTTACCCCATTACAGTGACACCCCAAAGCACCAGACAGCCCCCAGAGTAACCAGAAACTTTCTTTCTTCTTCGTCTTGAATCTAGGTCAACTTTTTAAAACCACCTCCTAGTTTTAACTTCGATGAATTTTTCACAAAATGTATGACTTTCATGGACTACTATCCGTCCGGCAACCAAAAAAGTAAGTGCCCGGGTACCCTCGGTGGCCAAAAGGTTTTGCTGGTCCCAGCCATGGGACTCCGGGACATGTGGACGCAGTGTCCATCCGCAGGAGATCCTTCAGGGGGCTACTTCCTGTTCCCCCAACTGCGGGCTACTTCCTTTTCCCCCTACTTTGGGCTACTTCCTGTTCCCCCCCCCACTTTGGGCCACTTCCTGTTTCCCCTACTTTGGGCTACTTTCTGTTCCCTCCAACTGTGGGCTACTTCCTGTTCCCCTCTACTTCGTGATACTTCCTGTTCCCCCCAACTGCCAGTTACTTCCTGTTCCCCCCCTTTGGGCTACTTCCTGTTCCCCCCTATTTGTGATACTTCCTGTCCCCCCAACTGCAGGATGCTTCCTTTTCCCTCCTACTTCGTGATACTTCCTGTTCCCCTCAACTGCCAGCTACTTCCTGTTCCCCCAGGTGCAGTTCTCCCACCCTCCACCGTCTTCCCCATCGCCCAGATCATGCCCTATCAAAGGGCCAACCCATTTCCCTGAAACCAACCTTTCCCTCCCCACTCACCCCCATCACTAACCTTCTGGCCTCACTTGTATGTATGTATGTATGTATTTGCTTTTTGGGTCACACCCGGCTATCACAGGGGCTACTCCTGGCTCTGTGCTCAGGAATTACCCCTGGCAGTGCTCAGGGGACCCTATGGGATGCTGGGAATCGAACCCGGGTCTTCCGCGTGCAAGACAAACGCCCTGCCCGCTGTGCTATCGCTCCAGCCCCTGTATTTATTTTGTTTGGAGGCCACATCCGGCTGTGCTCAGGGCTTCCTCCTGGCTCTGTGCTCAGGGATCACTGCTGGTAGGGTGTTGGGGATCGAACCCCAGTGGGCCACGTGGCAAGGCCAGTGCCTTAACCCTCACCCCTCTCTCAGCCCTCGAACCGGCTGCTTCATGCTCAGCCCTCACAGGATCCATTCTGCTTCTTCGTCCGATTTATTCCCTGCTAAAAAGTGACTGATTTCTCTCCACTTGATCACTTGATCACTTGACATCCCGTTACTCATAGATTGGCTCGAGCGGCGCCAGTAACGTCTCCATTCGTCCCTGTCGCGTGCTAGTGTAGCCCAATGGCTTCTGCTCGTTCTAGGAACACGAAGAGCCTCAAACCGATCGTTCAGGGTCTTGACGAAGAAGTCTGACCATCTTGTAGGTGGGCGGCGGCCACGTGATCTTTTGACGTCCAGATTTCTCTCCAGACTTGCTTTTTCTTCTTTTGGTCTTCAGGCGCATCCCTGCCAGCTCCTGATCGCCAATTATGGGGCTTGGCGGGGAAGTGCCAACCATGAGAGTGATGAGAGTGGGAGGTCTAACAGCGCCCCACTATCTCTATGGTCCCCCGAGCACAGAGCCAGGAGTCAGCCCTGAGCACAGAGCCAGGAGTGACCCCTGAGCATCGCAGAGTGTGACCCAAAAAAACAAACTAATGTGTCATGTGGTGCTGAGGGGAGAGTCAGCTTTGCAGCTCCAGGCGTTGAATTTTGGGGAGACCACCCCCTTGTTCACAATGCACACACACACACACACACAGAGGCTCATACTCACTCATACACTGGGTCCTGTCTGGCCACGAGGTGCCCCAGAGCCCCTGGCTGCAGAGGGAAGACCACTTCCCCGGGAAACAGGACTGGGGGTGCCGGTCCCCCCAACACCCCTGCCTGAGCTGTCCCCTCCTGTCCCCTTAGACCTGCTGAGGCTGGCATGCATGCTGGAGTCAGACCCCAGGCTGGAGGTGTCCCTGAAGAAGTACGTCATGGAGAGCATCCTAAAGCAGGTAGGGCCCGAGAAAACCCGCAGGGGCCACAGAGATGGCCCAGTGGTTAGGGAGTTGCCCGCCGGGTGACACCCTGGAGCCCCACCAGCCCAGCCCGGGTAATCCCTGCACCACGGTGCCCATGCAGAACTGCAGCCTTGGCCTGGCCTGACTCCAGCCGGGCTGGTGGAGAGCTGCAGAGGGACCCCCAACTGTGCTTAGGCGCCCCCCAGAAGAGAAAGGAAAAGTAGAACCGAAAAGGGGTGGAACCCCAGGGAGGCCAGTCCTGTGCGCTCTCTCAGGGGCCGGGGCAAGGCCGGAGCCACTGAGGAGACCCGCACACCTTCCCCACGGTGGCCTCCCCAAGCAAGCCAGCAGGCCGACAACGCTTACCTCACATGCTCACACTCTCACACACTCACACTCACTCATACACACACATGCACTCACACATGCTCACACACACTCATACATACGCATCCTCACACACACGCATTCATGCACTCATACGCACATATACACACACTCATACACAGACACACTCACACACGCACGCTCACACACACTCACCTGTACATATGTACCCTCACACACATACCTTCACACGCACTGTCATTCATATACACACTCACAAGTGCTCATGCACATACACTCGCACACACTCACACGCACACACACTCACACATTCATACACTCATACCCACATACACACTCACACACAGACACTCACACATGCTCACACTCACAGACTCACACCTATACATGTACCCTCACACACACTGTCATTCATCTACACACTCACAAGCACTCATGCACATGCAATCTCACACACTCACGCTCACTCGTACACACATACCCTCACACACACTCACTCATACACTCCTGCACACACATCCATGCACACGCTCACACTTGGTCATACACTTGCACTCATACACACTCATACACACAATCTCATGCACACATACACACACTCAAACCTACACACACACCCGCACACACACTGTCACTCATACACACATACTTACACGCTCACACAAACTCATACACACTCATACACACATACACTCACACGCTTACATCCACAATCACGCTCACACTCACACACATATATTCTCAAACATACACTCGCACTCACATACACACTTGCTCACACACTCACACACACTCATACACACTCACACATACACTCATGCACACTCCCACTCATACACACATTCATACACACATACACGCATATACACACACACTCACACATTCATACCCACATACTCTCACTTGCTCAGACACACTCACTCATAGGCATACACACTCATACACACTCATAAAACTCTCACACACACATTTATAAACAAACTCATAGAAATGCTTATACACACCAACATAAACCCAGTTACACTGACACACAGTCACACACACAGACACACAGTCACTTGCACAGTCACACACATAGACATCCACACTTACACTGGCACACAGTCTCAGACATCCAGTCATACACACGGACACACAGTAACTGACATACACGCAGTCACACAGACACAGTCACTCACAGACACAGTCACACACAGACATACAGTCATACACACTGACAGTCACACTGACCTACACACAGTCACACACAAGCACACAGTGACTCACACAGTCACACAGACACAGTCACACAGACACACTGACACAGTCTCACTGATGCTCAGTTACATACGGACATACAGTCACTGGCACACAGTCACACAGACATACAGTCACACTGACACAGTCACACCGACACACGGTCACACACATGGACATGCCGTCACTCATACTGACACAGTCACACACACGTACAGTCACTGACACAGTCCACACACACACCCAGTCACACTGACACCCAGTCACATGGACAGAGAGTCACACACACGCATACACCCACAGTCCCGCCCGCTCAACAGTCCCGGGGAGCAGGGTGGTGGGGGAGGGCGAGCGGGACCCCGGCTGAAGCCCGGCCCCCCCCAGATCGACGACAAGCAGCTGGGCGGGTACCTGTCGGAGCTGCGCCCCGTCACCATCGTCTTCGTGAACCTGATGTTCAAGGACCAGAACAAGGTGGAGGTGATCGGCTCGGCCATCCAGGACGCGTGCGTGCACATCAACGCCGTGCTGCGCACCTTCCGCGGCCAGATCAACAAGGTCTTCATGTTCGACAAGGTACGCGCTCGCCGGGATTCCTCCCCACCCCCAGGGCCGCTGGGCGAGCAGAGGGAGACCCCCGGCTCGGCCGCTGCCTCTGCCCGCAGGGCTGCTCCTTCCTGTGCGTCTTCGGCTTCCCGGGGGAGAAGGGCCCCGACGAGGTCACTCACGCCTTGGAGAGCGCCGTGGACATATTCGACTTCTGCTCCCAAGTGCACAAGATCCAGTGAGTGTCGAAGCCCCCCAGCCCAGCGGGAGTGGGACCCCCATTGGGGGGGCGACGGGGATGGGGTGAACGAAGGGGCTTCCTAAGACATACCCCCAAGGCTGGAGCAATAGCACAGCGGGTAGGGCGTTTGCCTTGCACACGGCTGAGCCGGGTTCGATTCCCAGCATCCCACATGGTCCCCTGAGCACCGCCAGGGATAATTCCTGAGTGCAGAGCCAGGAGGAACCCCTGGGCATTGCCAGGTGTGACCCCAAAAAGCAAAAAAATAGACATCCCCCCAAGTCCCCCATCCTGGGCTGGCGGTGCCCCGGCAGAGGCCACACTCCCAGCCCCGTTGGTTTTTATTTATTAATGTTTTTGGGCCACGCCCGGTGATGCTCAGGGCTGACTCCTGGCTCTTCGCTCAGGAATCACTCCTGAGGGTGCTCAGGGGGCCCCTATGGGGTGCTGGGGATTGAACTCGGGTCGGCCACATGCAAGGCCAGCACCCTCCCTGCTGTACTATCGCTCCTGGCTTAAAACAAGTTTTAGTAACTGGGCGTATTCCTGCCGTGCCCAAGGCCCCGAGTTTGATCCCCAGCACTGTACCACTGACCACTTACAGGAGAGCACTGGACGTGACCCCCCCCCACACACTGCTTCCCCACCGCCACGGCTCAGCCAGCCCAGAGCATGGAACGGTTAGATTTTGTTTGAGTATCTCCAACAGGGACGCCCCCCGCCAATGACAGGGAGACCAGATGGAGTCAGAGATTTCTAGACTGCGGTGCCATCGCTGAGAAGGGAAGCCGGCCATCCTCAGCACCCACCACCCCCTGCCTGGGTGCCTCCCTGTCTGGGAGCCCCACTCTGGACACCCCATGGCCCTCTCTCTCCCCCTGACCCCTGCACGGATGCCGTGTTCTCAGTGGGGGTCACTCCCCCTCAAAGTGGCGTCTGCCTCCCCTCTGACACCGCCAGCGACCGGCCGCAGTTGGGGGTCCCGGGAGGGGCTTCCAGCATCTTTTGCCAAGGGCCTCCCACCCTCTCAAGCCCGAGCATGGTCCCCAGTCCCCCTGCCTCATGTTCCCCCACCCGCCACTATCCTGTCCTCTTGCCCCTGCCAGCACCGTGTCCATCGGGGTGGCCAGTGGCATCGTCTTCTGCGGGATCATCGGGCACGCAGTGCGACATGAATACACAGGTACCCACCGGGCTTGGCTGGAGGAGGGCAGGGCTGAGGCAGGAGGCCCCCCCCCCCCACACACACACACAGAAAACTGGCCTGCAGCCGCACTCCGCTTAAGGCCAGGCTTATTCAGCATTCATGAAAACTAGGACATCAGGAGCGACTCCGGTTCGATTCCCAGCATCCCATAGGGTCCCCCGAGCACCGCCAGGAGTGATTCCTGAGTGCAGAGCCAGGAGTCAGCCCTGAGCATCGCTGGGTGGGACCCAAAAAAGCTAAAATATTATAAAAATAATAATAAATAAAGAGCAGCTTCATAGCAGGGTTTCTGCTCATTAAAAAAAAAAACAGACTGGGACATCAAGTGTGAAAATGCCATTGGTGGGGCTGGAGGGACAGCACAGCAGGGAGGGCGTTGGCCTTGCACACAGCTGACCCGGGTTCGATCCCCGGCATCCCAGAGGGTCCCCGGTTTCCTGAACGCAGAGCCAGGAATGAGCCCTGAACATGGCTGGGAGTGGACCCAAGTAAATGAAATCAAAAAGAAGATGCCATTTGGGGCCACATGCCTCCGAGGACACGCAGTTCCGAGACACTTTTTTGTCTCCTCTCTTTCCTCCTCCCTCTCTCTCTCCTCTCTCTCTGCTCTGTTCCTGCCTCTCCCTTCCTCTCTCCCCCTCCCCCTGCCCATCCCTCTTCCCCCCAACACCCCCCCCCCCCCAGTCATTGGCCAGAAGGTCAACATCGCGGCCCGGATGATGATGTACTACCCGGGGGTCGTGTCCTGCGACTCAGTCACCTACAGCGGCAGTAACCTCCCGGCCTATTTCTTCAAGGAGCTTCCCAAGAAGGTCATGAAGGGCGTGACCGACTCGGGGCCCGTCTACCAGTGTCTGGGCCTCAATGAGAAAGTGTGAGTCCTGGGAGAGCACGAGCCGGCCATCTCCTGTACAGAAATTGGGGTTGCGGGGGTAGGGAACTGTGACCACAGGGAGTCTCCAGAGCTGAAACGCTGGGCCTATTCCAGCGTTCCAAACCCTTCACGCGCCCCCGTTCTACTGGGGCTATAGCATGGTGTAAGGTGGGGGCAGAGGGTCCCCCCAGGTCTGAGGATCTGGGGGAGGGGGTCAGTCTCCAAAGGTGGCTTGCAAGTAGGACCGAGAGTGTCATCTCGCCTGGAGGACATATTCCTCAATGGAACCTCCTTCGTGTGGAGGGGTTTTTATTTTTTTACCCGGGTTCAATTCCTCCGCCCCTCTCGGAGAGCCTGGCAAGCTACTGAGAGTATCTTGCCCGCATGGCAAAGCCTGGCAAGCTCCCCGTGGTGTATTTGATATGCCAAAAACAATAACAAGAAGTCTCACAATTTGTTGTGAGATGTTACTGGTGCCCACTCGAGCAAACTGATGAACAACGGGAGGACAGTGCTACAGTGCTTTTACTTATTTAATTATTTTCTTTTTTCTTTTTGGGTCCCACCCAGTGATGCTCAGGGCTGACTCCTGGCTCTGCACTCAGGAATCACTCCTATGGGATGCTGGGAATCAGGAATCCCTGTGCATCGCTGGGTGTGATCCAAAAAATAAATAAATAAATAAAAAAGAGAGAGCGAGAGCATGGTGCTCGGAGTTGGGGGTAGGATCTTTCCAGAATCAAGGACAGTGCCCCCTTGGACACTTGCAGGGTGCCCGGCCAGGTGTTGGGTCTTTAGGGAGGGCTCAGCGCTGGTCCTTGGGAACATTTAGAGGCCGAGTGGTCAGTGTCGTGGGTAGGTCTGTTGCCGGCACTGTGTGCCGTGTCCACTGCCAGGTCAGGGCCTCTCCTACCTGTCTCTCAGGCCAGAAAGGACAAACAAGGAGACTTTCAGGCCCGAGGGACCCCGTGTCGGGAGCGGAGAGATAGCACAGGGGTTAGGGAGTCAATCCCCGACACCACCTCTGGGCACCGCCTGGGCACTCCTGAGCATTACTGAGTGCTCAGAACAGCACCACGGAAGCCCAAAAGAAGGGGAAAAGAGGGGCTAGAGTGATAGCACAGCAGGTAGGGCGTTTGCCATGCACGCGGCCGACCCAGGTTCGATTCCCAGCATCCCATATCGTCCCTTGAGCACCGCCAGGGATAATTCCTGAGTGCAGAGCCAGGAGTAACCCCTGTGCATCGCCAGGTGTGACCCCCCCCCAAAAAAAAGGGGGAAAGAGAGAGCCAGTTCCTGATGCTGGAGTCTAACGTCTGTCTTTTTTCCTTCCAGCATGTTCGGGATGGCTTACCTCATTTGCAACAGAAGCAAGGGCTACTCTTTGCTGGGTAGGTAGCGGGCCTGGATTCTGAGACGTCCTTGATTGACACACGGCCTGAACGTCCTTTCTCGAGCCAAACATACGGGAAAGCACCCCAGGAGTGTCAGCCGCCGAGCAAACCCAAGGACCAGGCAGAAACCGTGCGGGCCGAGAAACAGAAGCACAGTGATGGGGCTGGAGCGATAGCACGGCGGGTAGGGCGTTGGCCTTACATGCGGCCCGAGCCGGGTTCGATTCCCAGCATCCCATAGGGTCCCCCGAGCACTGCCAGGAGTAATTCCTGAGTGCATGAGCCAGGAGGAACCCCTGTGCATCGCTGGGTGTGACCCAAAAAGAAAAAAAAAAAAAACACAGTGATAGTATAGCGGGGAGGGCGTTTGTCTGGCATGTGGCTGACCTGGGTTCGACTACCAGCATCCCATAGGGTCCCCCGAGCACTGCCAGGAGTGATCACTGAGTGCAGAGTCAGGAGGAACCCCTGAGCATCTCCGGGTGTGACCCAAAAAGCAAAATAATGAAATAAAATAAAACCCAGGGACATCTATCCCCTCCCTTCCCTGGCTTTCCCCACACCCCCTGAGATGCAGCATCACAGGGATTGAGCCTGGTTGGAAAACCCACATGGATGGAATCACACCTGGTACAACCTGGTACAACCTGGTACAACCACCCTATGTCTTATTTTAATCAACACCATGTTTTGAAAATCTGCCAACTACTCATTTTCATTACATATAGAATTATATAAAAAGACATGAAATATATATATATATTTCATTGCATGAACTCATATATTTGGCAGGGAGGGGTTCACGCGGTGATGCTCAGGGCTGACTCCTCGCTCTGTGCTCAAGAATCACTCCTGGCGGGATGCCGGAGATCGAACCTGGATCTTGCTTGCGTGCAAGGCAAACGCCTTTCCCGCTGGGCTACCCATCTGGCCCCTCATTGCAGTATTTTTTTTTTTAGAAATAAGAGAAATTTTTTTTGCTTGGTTAGTTTCACTCCTACCTCCAATTCAGATAGTTCCGGTTTTTAATTCCAGATCGTGTGACCTAAGCAGATCCCATTTTTCAAACCACTGTCACTATCATCCCGTTAATCATTGATGACTCATGTGGGCTCCAGCAGTGTCTCCATTTGTCCCAGCCCTGAGATTTTATTTATTTATTTGCTTTTTGGGTCACACCCAGCAATGCTCAGGGCTGACTCCTGGCTCTGCACTCAGAAATTACTCCTGGCGGTGGTTGGGGGACCCTATGGGATGCCGGGGATCAAACCTGGGTTGGCTGTGTGCAAGGCAAACGCCCTCCCCGCTGTGCTATCACTCCGGCCCCAGCCCTGAGATTTTAGCATCGTAAACGTTATGCTATCTCCAAGGATGCCACACGCCAGCTGGATGTCCTTAGGCATAATGGTGACGCGCTTGGCTTGACGGGGAATGTGCAGAGGTTGGTGTCCACCAGGTAGGCCTCACAGGCCTCCTGCAGTACCATGATGGCTGAGCTCTGGGAGCACAGGTTGGTCTTGAAGTCCCACACGATCTCGCACACCAGCCGCTGGAACTGCAGCTGGCAGATCTCGCGTAATGACACTGTGTCGGGCTGGTAGGTGCGACTTCTTCTCGCTGCCTGTGGCTGGCGCGCTCTTGGGGGCCGCCTTGGTGGCCACCTTCCCGACCATTGAGTTGCACACCGTCTACTTAGTACGAGCCCTCTCGTCCTTCCCAACTCAGCTGGAGACTCCTTCAGGGTTAGGGAAATGAGACCGGTTTTAGCTACTGTTGTTGGCATATTGGGTACGTCACGGGTGATACGATAATTAAGTAGCCATGAGACTGAACATTACCAAAAAGGCCTTTATGCACAGCTGTAAAACCACAAGTTTCACTGGAAAGTTCTAGAGAATAAAAAAAAGGGTGGGGGGGTTGGAGCGATAGCACATCGGGTAGGGTGTTTGTTTGCCTTGCACAGGGCCAACCCGGGTTCGATTCCCAGCATCCCCTATGGTTCCCCGAGCACTGCCAGGAGTAATTCCTGAGTGCAGAGCCAGGAGCAACCCCTGTGCGTTGCCAGGTGTGACCCAAAAAGCAAAAAAATAAATAAATAAAAATTTAAAAAATAAATTTAAAAAAAGGGGAGGGTTATTACAGGAAATTACAAAGAAAAATGCCCATACTCCTGAAAAGCCCCAAGACTACTCTTAGGAGTGGGGATATGTTCTTATGGACTTTATTATTATTTATTATATATTATTTATTATATATTATTTATTATATATTACTTATTATATTAGCTCGAGCGGGCCCAGTAATGTCTCCATTGGAGATTTTGTTGTTACTGTGTCTGGCATATCGAATACTCTCGGTAGCTTGCTGGGCTCTCCGAGAGGGGCGGAGGGATCGAACTCGGGTCGGCCAAGTTGGCCGCTTGTAAGGCGAACGCCCTACCCGCTGTGCTAGCACTATAGCACTGTCCTCCCGTTGTTCATCTATTTGCTTGAGCGGGCACCAGTAACGTCTCCATGGTGAGACTTGTTGTGACTGTGTTTGGCATCTCGAAGACGCCATGAGGAGCTTGCCCGGCTCTGCTGTGTGGGCGGGATACTCTTGGTAGCTTGTCAGGCTCTTTGAGAGGGACGGAGGAATCGAACCCAGGTGGGCTGCATGCAAGGCAAACTCCCTACCTGCTATGCTACTACTCCAGACCATTATTCACGATCACGACCACCCTGTTGCTCGTCGATTGCCTCGAGCAGGTGCCAGTAACGTCTCCTTCGTCCTAGCCTTGAGATTTTTTTTTTTAAAGTGCCATATTCAAGGCTTTTTCAGGGTTAGGAGAATGAGACCCATCATTGTTACTGGTATTTGGCATATTGGGTATACCACGGGGAGTTTGCCAGACTCTGCCGTGTGGGCATGTTACATTTGGTAGCCTTTAGTAGTACATTCCAAACAGACCATTATTATTATTATTATTATTAAAATATCTCGAGATGACTCCATGTTGATTCAGTTCTGCTCCCTTTTTAAAACAAAACCCACAGGCCGGAACAAGGAGATCGACTACTTCGTGTGCACCATGAAGGAGTTCCTGAGGGCCAACTCGAGCCGCGTGCTGATGTTCGAAGGCCTGTCGGGGTACGGGAAGAGCCAGCTGCTCATGGAGATTGAGTACCTGGCCCAAGGTGAGAACCACAGGTGAGCGCCTTTCTTTCTCTTTTGGCTTCTGGGGGTCACCCCTGACGGTGCTCAGGGCTCACTCCCAGCTCTGTGCTCAAGGATCCCTCCTGGCGGTGCTCGGGGGATCCTAGGGGGATGCCGGGATCCAAGGTTTGATCCCACACATTGCAGGGCACCCCTCAGAGTGGTGCTGGGGTGATGAAGGGTAGGACTCAGAAGCTTCCAGAACACCCGGTTCTCGATATCCTCAGGCATGGCCAACACCAAGTCTCAATCCTGAGGCTGAAGCGTTTGCACAGTGGAGAGGGCATTTGCCTTGCATGCAGCCAACCCAGGTTTGATTCCCAGGAGCCCTGAGCACTGCCAGGAGTAACTCCTGAGTGCAGAGCCAGGAGTAACCCCTGTGCATCACCGGGTGTGACCCAAAAAGCAAAAAAAACAAAAAAAACAAAAAACCAAAAAAACAAAACAAAAGAAGTCTCAACCCTGAGCCCGGGCTGTTTCTTCCCATCCCCCCGCAAACAGGACCGTGGCCATCGTCCTGACGAAGATCAGCTTCACACAGAGCTTTTACACCATCCAGATCCTGATGGCCAACGTGCTGGGCCTGGACACGTGTAAGCATTACAAGGAGCGCCAGAGTAGCCTGGAGTGTAAAATCAAGACGTTGCTGAACGAGAAGTCCTACTGTCTGCTCAATGACATCTTTCACGTCCAGGTCGGCCGCGGGGGCATCGGGGCGGCGGGGGACGTGGGACCCCGGGAGCGGGACCCTGCCTGGGAGACAGACCCCAGAGGATCCAGCTGCTTCCTGTCACAGGGGTGCAGCCCTTTGGCTCCCATGGGGCGCCCCCGGGTCTCCCGTGGACCGAGCACCCTAACTCTGCTTCCTGTCTCACTGTTGTGAAGTGGGGGACCTCTAAAACGGCATTGCGGGGTGTGGGTCATCTTGGGAGATTTGTGTTTTTTTTGTTTGTTTTGGTTTTGGCTTTTGGGGCCACACCCGGCGACGCTCAGGGGATATTTCTGGCTTTGCACTCAGGGATCACTTCTAGCAGTGCTCACCTCTGAGCACCCTATGGGATGCCGTGGCTTGAACCCAGGTCAGCTGCGTGCAAGGCAAACGCCCTTCCCGCTGTGCTATCACTCAGGCCCATCTTGCGAGGTTGGGGGGCGGTGCTCAGCGCTGACTCCTGGCTCTGCGCTCTGGGATCACTCCCGGCAGAACTCGGGGGATCCTATCAGATGCCAAGGATCGAACCCAGGTCAAACATGTGGTAGGCAAGAGCCCTCCCAGCTGTCCTATCGCCGACCACCCCACAAAAATGACTTTACAGGGACTGAAGTGATAGCAACGGGGAGGGCGTTTGCCTTGCATGCAGCCAACCTGAGTTTGATTCCCAGCATCCCACAGGGTCCCCCAAGCACCGCCAGGAGTGACTCCTGAGTGCAGAGCCAGGAGTATCCTCTGTGCATCGCTGGGTGTGACCCAAAAAAGGAAAAAAAAAAAACCTTTACAGTTTCTGTGTGACTTAGTATGATCTGGCAGGTCAGAGAGATAGCACGCCTGCAAGACATGCTTTGTTTGCATGAGGCCGGGTTTGCTGCCCCCACTCTGCATGGTCACCTAGAGACCCACCAGAAATAGCCCCCAAATAAAAACAAATATGAGATAATACAATGGGGAGGGGTTTGCCTTGCACGCAGCCGACCCAGGTTCAGTCCCCAGCATCCCATGTGGTCCACCAAGCTCTGCCAGGAGCAATTCCTGAGTGCAGAGCCAGGAGGAACCCCTGAGGGTTCAGGGGGAGTTGGGGGAGATGGGTGACCCCGAGTTTCCTCTGCTGGTCTCCCACACCCAGGACGCCCCCCCATTCTTCCTACAGTTCCCCATTTCCCGGGATATTTCCAAGATGACCCCCCAAAAGAAGCAGGCCCAGCTAGAGGCCCTATTCATGAAGATCCTGGAGCAGGTACAAGCAACCACACACGTGGGGGTCCCACCAGGGCCGGGACCACCACCCCCACCCCACCCCCTGCCAAGCAGTCCCACAGGGTCCCTGAGTCACACCCCACTGACAAGGAGAAGCTCAGGACGACTCGCGCCCACAACCCCCAAACACTGCAGCGAGTCCCACCAGCTTTTTGAGGGGAACTGCTGGTGGTGCTCGGGGGTCTCTATGAAGTGTCGGGGATCGAACCTGCATCAGCTGTGTGCAAGGTAAACGCCCTGCCTGCCATCCTGTTGCTTCAGCCCACAAAAGACGTTTTGAAAGCTCTAGGATATGGCCAGAGAGATAGTCCAGCGGGGTGGACAGTTGCCTTGAAAGCAACTGGCCTGGGGCTTGAGCGATAGCTCAGCGGATAGGGCGTTTGCCTTGCATGTGTTCGACCCGGGTTCGATCCCCAGCATCCCATATGGTCCCCTGAGCACCGCCAGGAGTAACTTCTGAGTGCAGAGCCAGGAGTCAGTCCTGAGCATCGCCGGGTGTGGCCCCCAAACAAACCCCCCAAAAAAAACAAGACAAAAATTAAAAATTAGGGCCAGAGCAATAGCACTTTGCCTTGCGTGCCACCAACCCGGGTTCAACCCCCAGTTATCTTATAGGGTCCCCGGGGCACCAGTTCCTGAGTGCAGAGCCAGGAGTCAGCCCTGAGCACTGCTGGGTGTGACCCCAAAAGCAAAAGAAAGAAAGAAAGAAAGAAAGAAAGAAAGAAAGAAAGAAAGAAAGGAAGAAAAACTCCGGGACTGGGGCCGGAGTGATAGCACAGTAGGGAGGGCATTTGCCTTACATGTGGTTGACCTGGGTTCGATCCCTGGCATCCCACAGGGTCCCTTGAGCACTGCCAGGAGTGATTCCTGAGCGCAGAGCCAGGAGTCAGCCCTGAGCATCGCTGGGTGTGGCCCCCCAAACAAACCAGAAAACAAGATAAAAATTAAAAATTAGGGCCAGACCAATAGCACAGCGGGGAGGGCCTTTGCCTTGCACGTGGCCAACCCGGGTTCGATCCCCAGCATCCCCTAGGGTTCCCTGAGCACTGCCAGGAGTGATTCCTGAGTGCAGAGCCAGGAGGAACCCCTGAGCATCTCCAGGTGGGACCCAAAAAGCAAAAAAAAAAAAAAAAAAAAAAAAAACCAAAAAACTCCGGGGCTCCGCAGACCGTGCGGGAGGAGCGGGTCATCTTCATCGTGGACGAGGCCCAGTTCGTCGACTCCACCTCGTGGGCCTTCCTGGAGAAGCTGCTCCGGGCGGTGCCCATCTTCATCATCATGTCACTGTCGCCCTTCACCGACATCCCCTGCAAGGCGGCCAGCAGCATCATCAAGAGCAGGATCACCACCTACGTCACGCTCGGGGCCCTGCAGCCCAGGGACATCCGCAACAAGGTGTGCCTGGACCTCAACGTGCACGGGATCCCCAAGGAGCTGGACCTGTGAGTGGCAACCGCCTGCGCAAGCGCGCACGTGGGGCGTGGGGGGGGGGCGCAGGCCAGGCAACTGCTCTGCGCGTGCGTGGTTCCTTCTCCAGCGTCCCCGAACCTGGTTCGAATCCCTGCTTCCCCTCCACCACCACCCCCCCACCCGCCCAGCCTCATTTCCTTCGGGTTTCCCCAGTCTCTGCTCAAGAGTGAGCCCACAGCTAGGAGGAAACCCTGAGCACTGTCCACTGTGCCCCGGCCCTCCCCTAAAGAAATAAGGGGAAATCAAAGAATTTTTGAAGACAGTTCAAGAGGAACCAGAGCTATAAGGCTGGGGGGGAGGGGAATGTGTGGGTGTTGGCCTTGCACGTGGCCGACCTGGGTTCGAAACCCGGCATCCCACAGGGCCCCCCCATCATCACCATGGAGCACTTGCTAGTTGGAATCCCTGACTGCAGAACCAAGAGTCAGCCCTGAGCACCGCCAGGTGTGGCCCTAAAGGCCAAAAATAGAGAGAGAGAGAGAGAGAGAGAGAGAGAGAGAGAGAGAGAGAGAGAGATAAAAGACAGTTCAAAGAGCTGGAGCTCACGGTCGGCATGCAGGAACCTCGGGTTGATTCCTGCACCGTGAGCACAGCCAGAGCGCTGAGCGTTACCAGGTGTGGCCCCCCCCCCCCCAACTGAGAAACATAGTCAAGATGGAATGAAGAATAAAGAAGGGGCTGGAGCCATAGCACAGCGGGGAGGGCGTTTGCCTTGCACGCGACCAGCCCGGGTTCAATTCCCAGCATCCCATAGGGTCCCCTGAGCACTGCCAGGGCTGATTCCTGAGTGCAGAGCCAGGAGTAACCTCTGTGCACCACCGCTGGGTGTGACCCAAAAACCAAAAAAAAAAAAAAAGAATAAAGAAGTGATGTTGGTAGGCCCACGGGTGACTTATGTGAAGCGGGGAGGAAAAAGACAATCACTTTCTCCCCATCCGCCGTTGCCACCCGGGATCCAG